GCGCCGTGGGATGATCGATCACCAAAGATTCTGAGATCAAGATGGCCAAGAGTGGGAATGCCCGTTTGCCTTTATGTTCCAATCATGACTTTGAGGAAGCTTGGGGGAAGAATTTCGGAGAATTCCTACACTGTTGTTTTTAGAGAAGTTCCATGGAGATGTGTACGAGGTGCTTGGTATTGGGACGACTACGTTCAGGCATGGAGGAGACTCCTGCTGGGAAGCACTGGAGAGCAAGTTGTTCTAGCGGCACGTCATGGACTTTGGGTTGCTCAGAAGCATACCATCCTCGAGAGAGCCGACGAAGTCACGAAGTCAGCCTCGGCGACAGATGACAACGTCCAAAAGCTCGTGTCCCTTATCGATGAAGTACAATTCGATGACAATGGAGAGCTGATCGAGGATTCCATCAGTGAGGAAACTTGGGACGAAATCATCTCCAGAACATGTGAAGGGTATCGCAACGTGGATGGCAATATTTTGTGTCCATCATGTATGCATTTGACTTCTTCATCTTTGTCCGTGTGTCTATCTTGTCAAGGCAGGCTACTCTCGTGTGGTATTCGCAACACTGTCATTTCCGATTCACCCGTTGATCTTGTGAGCGACGATGAAGAGGAAAAGAAGGAAGAGAAGGAGCCTGAAGATGATGATCAAGATATCTTGGACCAGGCCACTATGGACGAGATCAGAAAGGCTTGGGAAGAAGACATCGCTCAAACTGAAGCAGCTGACGACGACGAGGACATGGACAATCTAGATCCTTCCAAACCGTCTGATGGTGCAGAAAACTTCAAAAGTGACAATGTCGAGACCCCATCTTTCAATGAGGACGAGATCGACTACGATCGTGATTCTGATCTAGAAGATGAAGACGAACGGAACGTGATCATCGAGATCCAGAGGAGCACACAACAATATGAGGGGAAAAAATGTCAAGATGGTGAACCCGAGGATGAAGACGTCACCGACGACTTACATCCGGAGGCGAATCGACCGACAGATCGTGATGAACCGGGATACTATGCACAGCATGGAGCGACCGAGTTCAATCCCGAAGAAGGAAGAGACAACGAAGATCTCCCCATCTATTGTCGAGTACCGGAACCTCGAATCTATGCGCATCAAGAGAGAGCCTACTGTCAGGACGTCTCCGTGAATGCATCGGGTTTGATGGATAGGTATGTGGTCAAATGTGTGCTGAACATGATCTCCCTGATGTACAAGAGCTACTATTGCACCAGCCTTACCGACTTCAAAGCAAATTGGAAAAGGAAGCGACTGGATGTGATAAGCAAGTTCGGTACAGAGGATTTCACTGAAATCGATGACGATGGGAGACCATTGGATCCAACAGATGACATGATGAGAATCTTTGCCAACGAAAACAAGATTACGATTGAGGAGGCCTGGCACCGATTCAGAGGAGAGCAATTCATTTGCAAGGTGGCACTCGTGATCCTATCATTTGGTCATACTCCGTACTCCTTCAAGAAGGAATATGGCAACTTCGAATACTCCACCAACTTGACTGACGTCCAGCTTGAGGAGTTGAAAGCGAAGAAAGCCAGCGCAATGACTGAATTGGTACAGAAGTGCATCCATGCGATTTATGGTTGTCGGACATATTCTTACTTTAGAACCGACGTTACATCACCCAACCACAAGGTGATCGATCCTCTGGACATCATGTACTCGAGAATGAAGAGCAAATGGGAGAAGTCTATTCTGCTGATCATTGATCAACATGAGATCAGGTTGCCCCCACACGCTCAGAATGTCGTAGAGTCAATGGCCAGAAATCCCAACATTGGACATACAGAGAGATGGATGAGCGTGGTAGAACAGAAGCATGTTCAAGCTCTTACCGATCGTCTAGGCTTTGGAGATAGGGCCAAGGAGATTCAGGGCAAGAAGAAGCAGGCAGCCAAGGCAACAGCTAAGTCAACATCAACGACTAAGTCTGAAGCGAAAGCAGCATCTTCGTCAAGAGCTGAGGCAAAGCCAGCATCTACACCCAGAACCGAGGCCAAGCCGTCGTCAGCACCAAGTGAGGAGCCAAAATCTTCAAGAGCACCTAAGAGTTTCGGGCCCTCATCAGCAGAGGAGAACAAGGCGAAGGCTGCTCCAAAAGCCAGACCACATGATAAATCACCATCCAGTGCTACCGATGTGTTTGAGCAAGCTTTGCAGGAAGATCTTGCCGCCAACGCACATGCAGCAGAAGGTACAACTTCTTCATCATCCCGAGGACATTCCAAAGGAGGAGGCCAATCTGGAACATCTTGGAGGCCGGCGCTAACGCAAGAACGTCGCGAAGTACCTCAACCTTCTGAAAAGGGGAAGGGAAAGAGCAAGTCCAAGGGAAAGTCCAAGAAGGGAGAAGATGATCGGCGGGATGCTCAGGGCAGCTGGGATCATCGTGGATGGAGAGGTTATCGCCAGTGGTGATTTCTTTGAACGACTATGAGGATACCATGCAAACCAGGGAGGAAGTCATTCACCGGATGTCTATCTGATCTGAAACGCTGTAAGTGTATCATTGCAAATCATCGGATTGACGATTTGATACCATGAGCATAATGGAAGGTAGACAGTCACCGACTGTCTCTCCGTCTTGCCGTTCTGTAAGTGTATCCAAACCAAAACCTACATCTTTTGAGAAGTGTGAAGCCAGTTGCCGATGTGACATCTACGTGGAAGTCACCAGTTCGGATCTACATCAAAGCGATGCTCTTTTGAGTGGATACTGAGCGAGGCCTCGTGACTGTCTCACTTGTTCAATTCGATTTTTCATAGGTTCTGAGCCATAGTTGCACACTTTATATGTAAAAGTCCGCTTTAGTCCAGCATGTTTCGTAGTATGAGCCTCATATGAGTCTCGCAGCAAATCATACAATTTCTTTTTTGTAGCACTTACATCCCTAAATTTTCGTGTGTGATCGGAACATATTGTTGCCGTTCACATGGGGGGTGCGAATGGAAGTGCAGCGACACGTACAGTGCAACTTGTACATATATATGTACCATATGTACTTTGGCTCAAGGATCAAGCGACTAGAAAAGGTGCGGTTTCCGTTCCGACGCTACGCCGCTTATGGATCGTCAGTGATAGCTTCAAACTTCGCTGATTAAGATCCACTCGCAATTTTAAGGTCTATTCAGTGAAGAGTGATGCCTTCACGATCCATGAAGACGATTTGACTAGAGTGACGGGCAAAACAAATCATTTCATAAAATCCTATCAGACTGGAATATTGAACTTTGAAGAAGGCATAGGCAACTGGAGACCGACAAACAATGAGTTTTTGTTTTGGTTTTGGCAGTCTGTGATAGGGACAAGAGTTTTTGTTTTGGTTTTGGCAGTCTGTGATAGGGACAAGTGAACAATAAACATAGTAAATGCACGCGGTGAGCCTATCAACCATCTGACACCCACAAACAGCATCTGATATCTGAAAATATCACTGAGACACGCATGCAACAGGCAACATTGGTAGATCTTTGGGGGGGGGTAGCTATATATATATATATTATCATCTAGACGGCGCCTGAGGCTAGGTTGTCGCCAGAAACCACAACCACATACAAATCATCAAACCAACTCATAGATTAGTCGAAGAAGCCCGGTACAAAACCCTGCGTAGCAAAGGTGTTGATCATAAGGAATGTTACTCAGACAAGCAACCCATTTGTGAAGTTAAACCAATTTCGAGGGAGTTTCCGGTGACAGTTTGGGAACACGTTGCTAACGATTGAAACTCAAGGCGTGCAATAAAGTAATTTAGGTGCATTTGCTGCCCAAACAAATGGACGAAAGTGATCGCTTGTGATATGCCGCTTGTTTGACCACTGTATGCAGTTTGTCGCAATCGTCATATGGCGTCCTCAAGTTAAGTGTGGAATTGCAAGGATCGGTGGAATGTCCTGTATCAAATGAATTGGAGTATTAGCATGAATTGGTGTTTGCCCTCTTGATCTCGTGGGTATTGTTTAAATTGTTTAAGCATGCGGACAAAGACGATTCGTGAGCGTATCTGTAGCTGCGGTCAATGTTGAAAGCACTATGCATTATGCACTGACGGCATGCCTGCCAGTTCTGCAAGCGTTGCAATACCGCATGAGTGCACGGCAACCACAGTAGTTCCAGTCCGTCCCACTCACCAGAAGGCCCAAGCATGCCTGAACAAAAGGGTTGCGACGAGCCTGTGCCCGCCAATGCACAGAAAGCGCTTTTGGCAGCCTGGAAGCTGCAAATGCAGTTTTGGTATTATTTGTTTTCAGTTGCCGAATCCCAAGCAAACATCCAATAGCCCCTCACAAGTTGGGTTCGAATCTAACATGTCGATACATGTTAAAGGAAAGAACCGCTGCTCAGCCTAATTCTGAGAAAACATTACTTGAAGCATATAACAAGAACAGGCTGATCGTCAAAATGCCAGTCTCTCGAGACTCTTGTTCCAGATGCCAGTCATCTCCAGAGCCGGTCGGTGGGCCCGAGGACGTGGAACAGTCCAATGCTATTTGTGTGGCGAGACTGTGTGGACATTCGTCAATTTGCATCATTTGGTGGTCTGGTGATTCGCGATGTGGTCGTTACTGCAATGTGGTGAAGGGTCATGTGCTGTTCGGGGTGTTCTGTGCTGGTCTCTAGAAGGATATATCTAAATGTTTGTTTGTTCATTGGAACGCCGCATAGACATTTAGTTGGAGATCTCGTCTACCTGCCACTTGTCTTCACACACCTCTACCGTTCTTTTTGTTTGAATCTCCACCTCACGCCTCACGCCCATCTCAGCCCTCTGGTCCCAAATGTTACACACTTGAGCCCGACGAGCAAAATCTCACCTGCATCTCGGGCACGCGTGGCCTATCAGCGTGATTTTGCTCCACAAGATGCAAGTGTTTCTGCACTTGGGAGTTTCCTGTTGGCCAAGCAGATGGTTGCGCAAAGGCACGTGAACCCCTCTTTTGCCTTTTGGTTGCTTCATGCCACCAAGGCCAGCCACTGCAGAGGCCATGGAGGGATCACTGACATGTCAAGCATTCAAGCATTTTGAGCAGATACTTATATGAGCGTTTTCAGGACTTGGAGGCCTTTATCAAAACCAATGATCGGTGGTTGGGTGACGAGGCACCAAGCCAGCTAGCCTTAAGCAAAAGAATGCAAATCATGTTTTTTTTCGCTGCTGAAATCGTGTTGCTGTTAGGCTGTGCAGACATTACGGGCAATGAGTGCAGCCTCGCACGACATGGTTGCTTTCAGTGAACAACTCATTTCCCAGACTCCCAGCAGAAAACATATGTTTTTTGTTGCAAGATTACTCTTTGAACAAACGCATGTTGCGCAGACATTTCATTCCAAACAGTTTACTGTTGTGATTGTCAATGATGTTTAACTAAGCGGACTAAGCGTGTTTCCTCTTGCTCCATCTCTTTGGCCTTCATTTGTTTGTCCGCTTCGGCTGGTGTCCACCTTCCTTGACTGACTTACTGTACACTTGTTCGCTAGTGTTTCCATCCTCAGCTGGCTGCATGTTGAATTCTTGAAGTTTGTTTCCCGCCTTCGTGTTGGGTTTTCCAAATGTGGAGCGGTGATTCTTACATGTGTCCTGGCTTTGGATGGCTGTGCTTTGGGTCGGTATGAGCTTGAGCTTGAGAACGTTGCAAAAACTTCATGTTGCTTCGCTTCAACTGTTTGGGGTCTACGCCTACGCCGGTGTAGTTTAGTGTTTGAGAGAGTTTACTCTCCACGCAACAGTTAAGTGTAGAAGGGTGGAGGAGGGATTTGAATGCCATTTTGGCTCAAGTCCCTCCTCCATTTGCACCGTTTTCTGTGTGAGTGGAGGCTGTTAGGGGGTTGCGCGCGTGGCTTCCCATGGCATTGTTTGGTCCATGGAGTGGTTTGGGAGGCTATTCGCAACTTCCTGATGTTCTCGATCACTTCAACGTATCGGACGAGGTATGGATCGCGGTGACGGCGCATTTGGGAGACCCGGGCAATGCTATCGGCCTTTTCTCGGCCATCCCTCGAGGCACTGTGGTCGCGGCTGTGGCGCAGCTACGACTTCGAACGGTCCCCTGACGCCATTGGAAGCAACGCAGGTGGGGCTGGTATGGCGCATGAGCAGGAGGATCATGGCTTTCAGAGCAAACGTGGCGGAGGAGAATTTCGTAGACGAGGATCCATGGACACCTTCGGAGGCACTGCCCGTGGCGCCGGTGGGGGCAGGCACGACTTCGACGAGACCACATCCTCAAGGGAGCTCAGGGTTGAAAGAGAACGTACTGAAGATGCAATCCTTGATCGACCAGTGCGACGAGTCGGAGCTGATGCCCCCAGAAGCCAAGGACGTGAACAGGTGGTGGCAAAACTACATAGCAGTGATGGGGGCGGCGCCGGAGGAGTCAGAGGAGCCCACCAATTCTCAAGTGGCAGCTTTGGCGAAACGGGTGATAACAAACAACCAGGCGCCCTACTGTGACTTCGCCAGTTGGCTGCCCTTCGGACGCAGGACCTCGAAGACCCAGAAGACCAGGACCTATACCCCGTTGGGGGATGGGTCATTCCTGTATAGAGATATCCCGGGTCCGGGCTCCTTTCAGGCCTGGACCTGTTCATGGAAGGTCTTCAAGTGCTCCGCCCTCATGCTGAACATCGTGAACCTAGCAGCATTAGAGCTATACTTCAGGCACATCGAGAAGCTCGTGATTCAGTACCCCCAGTGTTGGTCGCTTATTTACACGGCAGAAGACACAGCTCGTGCAGAACGTCTTGAAGATTAGAAGGCACTTGGACATCGAGGGAGGTAGAGGTTGTCAAGTGCCTGAAGAGTGGGACCCATTGAACCCGTGGTCATGCGTGTTCCGGGAGCTCGTGAAGGATTCAACCTTTTGGGCTGAGAAAGTACACCACCCAGCAGCCGCTTGGATTGCAGCCGAAGCCGAGGGGCACTGAAGGTGGCGTCTGATGCTGAAGTGCTGTCACATCTGCCAGGCATGGAGGCAAAGCGCGAGGCGGACGAGGCAGGCGGTGCAGGTCAGGGGAAGTCGAAAGACCAGTCAGGCACCCCTCTTTGCTTCTCGTGGGCATCCGGAACCGGAGTATGCGGGAAACTTCCACCTGGAGCTGAGTGTTTAGGCGCAGTGAAGCGAGCGCATATAAGTGCCGCAAGTGTCTCTCCCCGTCTCACCAGGACGACCAGTGCCCGATGTGACTGTAGGGCATAGGGACGCGAGGGATTGGGAGGGGGGGGGAAGGGCCACCAGGTTCGGTCACCGGGTTCGTTCGTTCGCATCAGTTGACGTCGCAGCCTGGGTTGTCAGCTCGAGCGCGTGTGTTCGGTGCGGCAATGGCCGAGCCGGAGTCGACTGATGCTGCAGCTGCCAGCTCCGCATCGGGGCAGGCAGCTAAGGGAGACGAGACCAGTGTGGATGCCGAGGAGGGTGGAGGAAGCGCTCGAGCAGGCGAAGACATTGGCGGATTACCGGGACAACCGGGTCTTCACCTTCCTTCACCTATTCAGTGGACCAGAAGATATTTTGGCATGAAGTTTGGAGGAGGAGTGCCAGAAGCACAAGTTAAGGTTCGGGGCGACCTCCCTGGACAGGAAGATGGAGTGAGATCGACCTGAGCACGCCAGCCTCGAACTGATCGAGGAGGACATCGTCGCAGGCGCGTTCGACTACGTGCACGGGGGCTTTCCGTGCGGTTCGTTTTCGAGGGCCAGATGGAACAAAGCAGGACAGGGACCTCCCCCAGTTCGAAGCGGAGCGGAGATCTACGGTCTGCCAACCAACACGCCAGAGCAGCAGGCAGAAGCGGATAAGGGCACGTTGATGGCTGTGCAGACCACACACCTCGTGCAGAAGCAGATCGGCAGCTGCAGGGCGAGAGCGGTGCCTCTCTTGGCAATGATTGAGAACCCGCCTGGTGACAGTCGTGTGGGGTCGGCTTGGAACATCCCTGAGACAAAGGGCTATTTGACAGAGGTCGAGGCGCAGTACGTAGAATTTACGACCTGCTCCTATATGACCGAGAATGTCCGCTGGTACAAGCCGGCCAAGTGGGCTGGGAGGCTAGAAGAGTGTGCCGCTGCCCGAACTGGGTTCGTCGCGAACCGCTCATGGGCAAGTCCAAGACTGAGCGCTCGGCTGCATACCCGAAACTCCTCTGCGACGCCATCGCGAAGTTGGTCGTTGAAGCGTGGAAGAAATCGCTCGCCTTGGAGTTTTGGCGCTATCAAGTCCGCATGAAGGTGGCGGAGGTTTCAAGTTTGCAGCAGAAATGGCTCATCAACGAAGAGCGCAAACTTCGAGGACTTGCCATCAAAGATACCAAACGGGACAAGAGAGAGCTCGAAAGGTCCCTGGAGACGATCTGGAACGAGCAAGGCCTCCCGCGATCCATGGCCAAGGTGCCCAAGAAAGAGCTCAAGGAGGCAGAGAACGACGTGTCCATCGGCGGTATGCGGAACCCTGACCTGGCAGTGGAGCGGCTGACACTGGTCAGGGAGGTGGGAGCGAAGTTGCGGGAGGCCTGGGAGAAATTCTACGAAGAGGAGCCCGACCTAGAGGAGCTCGGGAGCGCCTATGGGAGTCGGGAGGCAAAGTTCGACCAGGAGCTGACCAAGAGCTGGCGCGACAGGATGATGGCGACGCTTGGGGGCCCCGTTCAAATGGAAGGGATCCTACTCCGGGCCAACACGGAGTACAAGTCGCCCCTAGTTCCTGAACTATGGCACGCTTGGCAGGTAGCTTCGAAAGACCCGGACCTGTGCATACAGCAATTCATCCGGGAGGGCGTGCCCTTGGGGATGTCATCAAAGATACCACCTTCTCGAGGAATCTTCTCCCCGGCCAGAAATCAGGAGATCCAGTACGTGGAGTCGCAAGTGGAGTTTGAGGAGTGCCAGGGTATGGTCAACTACGCGTCCGTTCAGGAGCACCCCAAGGAAGCAGAGGAAGAGATCGCGAGGTACGAGGCGAAGGGCTTCGTACGGCGAATGCCATGGACGGCCGCTAGGGACGCATACAGCATTGGCACAGTGTCAAAACTCGCCCTGATTTTGAAGCAGAAGACAGATGCTTCCGTAAAGAAACGGATAGTGATCGACATGCTTCGGAGTGGAGGTAACGCCCGTGCAGAAGTTTTCGAGCGAATAGTGTTGCCGAGGGTGAGCGACGTGCTGAGAGCAATGAGGAAGCTCTAGATGGACGAGCCGGAGCCTGCAGTATCGCCGGACCCTGAACGCACGTCAGAGTTCGCCTTGGTGGACCTTACAGACGCTTTCTGCCACTTCGCAGTGACCCGGGACGAGCTACAACACTGTATCTCCCCGGACGTCTGTGAGGGTCAAGCACTGGTGTGGGTGGCCATGCTGTTTGGGTTCAATGCAGCGCCACTTTTGATGGGACGATTGAGTGCGGCGCTGGGCAGACTCCTACAGAGTTTGGTAAAGTCCGACGAGGCGGTCTTGCAGATCTACGTTGATGATCTGCTGATAGCTATGAGGGGACGACCCGAGGAAAGGCGCAAGGTGCTCTCCATGCTCCTCTACACCATGAATGCACTGCAGGGCGTCATGGTTTCCTTGGAAAAGGGGGAGCGAGGCACTCGGGTACAATGGATTGGGACGCAGTTCGAAGTGTTTGAAACCCGCAAGCCTGAGAATGGTCGCCGCATCACAGTCGGATTGCCCTTCAAGATGTGCAAGGAGGTGTACGACACCCTGGTGGAGTGGACCGGCAAAGGTATATGATCTCTCTAAAGGAGCTGAGGGCGATCACAGGCCGACTGTCATGGATGGCGGGCATTCTTCCACGGCTCAGATGGACTACATCAGTGTTCTATGCAGTGATAACGGACGCCAGCCAAAGGTCGTGACGGAGATCAGTGGCCCAAGGTCGGCCTCGTTGCAGTCAAAAGGCTGGGAGCAGCTCTTCATTGGCTCATTGCGATGCTGGATGCGAACGGCTTCAAGCTCCAGAACCGCATCATGTGGCTGAAAGAGAAGCCGGCGGAGTGGGGCATAATTTCCGACGCGTCTCCTGCAATTTTTGGGCCGGCCTGCCCCAGCATCCGGGCAACGTGTGGGAGTCGCTTTAGAGAGCGACCTAGTGCGGCGCACGCGCTGGCCACGCGAGCCGTGAAAAGGAAGCTATAGGGGGCGGGCTGGCAGGGTCGTGTTCTCATCCGCCCAGGTTTCGATCGTCGACCGGTTCGGACGTCGTCGCTTCCGTCGAAGGCATGTGTGCATGTGTCTGACGTTGATTCGTTCATCTAGCCATGACGGCCCTTGTACCTTGGGCCGGGGACCCGCCCGCTGAGGGAGCGCCTTGGCATGGCGCGCCGTCCGTTGCATACTTTCGGTATGTGCGGTCATACTAGCGTTCATGGCGGGATGGCGATCATCAACATGGTGGCACAAGTCGCGGCGAAGCCATTGGGAGGAGGCAGAGGGCGACGAGCCGGTCCACCGCAGGAGGCGAGCGATGGAGAGCAGCGAAGACAGCGGGAGGAGACACAGATCGCGGAGGAGCTCAAGTCCGAGGGTGAGGTCGGAATCTATGCACCGTCACTCGGATTCGGAACACCAGCCTCGAAGGCCGCTACGCCAGTTGTGGGGAGGTCCAGGAACGAGTACATCACCACCGAGGCCTCGCTCAGCGTCCGCGGATGCAGCAACTGGATCTCCAAGTCGGACAGGGGCAGCAAATTCAGCAGGGGAGACACTAGTCGAGCCGGCGACCTCAAGGCGAGTGGAAAGCTCAATGACACCACCAGGCCGTCCGGAGTGGATGTCCGCAGTGGTCGAGGAAGACGCGCGGTCGCTCCAGAGCCCAGGCGGGACGAGAGAGAGATTCCTACGGGTGAGGAGGCCAGGAGGCGTGCTGGGACAGATGCTGGAGCACGCCAGTCCAAGATGACCTTGACCATCGAAGACGTGGTGGACAGGGCCCGGTCCAAGGAGTGGGTGGAGGGCACAGTCAACCGCTTTGTGATGAAGTTCCACGCCACGTCTACCTGGCTGAGTAAACAATCGAAGCGACGGAAGATGTCCCAGCTCTTGAGGGTGGTTGGAGAGGACGCTCTGACGCAGCTATCAGCGCTACTGGACCAGACCAAACATGCAGTCATCGGACCAGTACGTGGCGGAGCTCAAGTTGTGGCACGTGGAGTCAGGATATCAATGGACGGACGCATTGGAGAGAAGGCTCGTCTTGTGCAAGAAAGCCTTGAAAAGGGACAGTGGGCCAGAGAAGAGAGCATTGGAAGTGAGACTGGATGAGATGGACGACTTGCTCTGGGGGATTGAGAGCGCCAAAACCTTCGAGCCGGTGCGTGTGGCCTGGTCCTATGCTTGGGCAACGCATTGGATGCTGAGGGCGGCGGAGGCGGCTACAGTGAAGGCCAAGCATGTGAGCTTGAACTGGAAGAAAAGAGAAGTGCGCCTCTTCATCCCAAAGTCCAAGACGGGTCAGCAAGCCAAGGGAGCGTGGAGGACATTGCAATGCTGCGGAGCCAAGCAATGTGATGTGACGTGCCCATGGGACTTAGCTGTGAGAGCCCTCAGCTGCCTGAAGAACAATGAGAGCCCACTCTTCCCGACGTACAAAGGCGCCCAAGTCTCCAAGGAACAGTTGGCGAGGGCCTGGCAGAACAACCTCAACCCGAGGATGTCAGGGCACTCGGCCAGGAGATCGGGAGCCATGATGTACACGCGGAAGGGCTTGGGGATCTACGACACCTCGTTCCTGGGCAGATGGAAATCCTCGGCAGTACTGAGGTACATAGAAGACGCCTTGGAGGAGATGCCTCTTAACAGAGCAATGGTGGTTGCAAGAGAGACATTGCCCGCCCAGGTCGGCTCGACGGAGCCCAAGACAGAGAAGAAGAGGAAGAAAGCCGATTCGAAAGACGAGGCAAAGTTCGAGGCGGAGCCACAGGTAGTTCGATCGACCTTGGAGCCACCCATCGACAAGTCACAACTCTTTGCTGTATCTACCTCAGCAAGGGGTAAAACAAGACGGTTGCGAATGCCGGATCGGGGATTCCTTTAGATCAATGGAGGACTACTTGTGGCTGGCCCTTTGCTCGGTATCATGTGAAAGTAGAACTTACAAAGTTCAAGACGAACAAAGCAAAGGAGGATGGAAGATTGCGCAGGCCATAGACCTA